TTGCTTTGAAACCACCGGTTTATTTTTCATAATGGCAGCTGCTTCCCCTGGATAGAACAGATTATTTATAACCTCTAGAATCCAAGTTTTTGTGATTGGATCTATTAATTCAGCCACTTTGAGATCAATGTTGATGAACTGATTCTTTATCAGAGGTGGTCTCATTCTCTGTGGGGGTCGGATTCTATCCCAGTAAGAAAAATCTGGAAAATGACTAAGTATGGAAACCAGGTCGGAAACGACTGGTCGACCCGGTTATCCAGTATCTGATGAGGCGACTTATCGGACAAGGCGGCGGCGTGACACTGCAACCGGAATGATGAAGTTACGGCGTTGAGCCCGTCGAGTCTGAGAGCGTGCCTGGCGGGAAAGACCAGCTCATAACGAGGAAGGCTATCATGACAAGGAAGCCCATTAGGCGAGCCCATAACGAGAGGGTCCAGAACGCGGCAAGGCAGGCTAAGCCCAAGACATTGCAAGATGGGCCGAGCAGATCGGCGCAGCCCACTCCGCGTGGTCGATTTTGAAGATAAGGAAGACTTCCTTATTTTTCTAGGGTGATTTCGCCGACCTAGTACTATATAAGCTAATGTAAATCCTCTGAGAAAGGGATCCGCAATTCTCTACACCGAAACTCTTGTATTCTTAAGTTTTGACAAAACAACAATAAAAAACCTAACTTCGATCTCTTGTTCTGTGATTTCGCGCAAGGAAGACTCAATCCTCTTCGAACCTAGAACAAATCTAACTATGAGATTCTACCTTCCACAGTTTGGCGCCGTCTAAGGGGACAATAGAGATCTTCTTACTCAAGGAAATCACCGCACAAGCGAACCGAAGATGACTGATGAACGCACCGACAACTCCGACCTCAACCGCGTCGACGAGACCGCCGACAATCCTGGCGACAAGGAGGGCGACGCCAACATCGCTAAAGATATGACGCAGAACCCCAACCAGGGTGCAACGGATGCAGCGCTTGCACTGGAAGTGCTGAACCAGATCAAGGTATCGGTGGACGCGATGCTCAAAAGGCAGGAAGACCAAGAGAGGGTGAACGCCTTGGTGAACGACAGACTAGACACCCTCGCTTCGGCGGGCCGAGGCCGAGGCCAAACCACGCTTAGGCGGTTAGGAGAGCAACTCATCCCGACCAGCCTCTTCTCAACACCAGAGGGTGCGCCCAGAACTCAGACTTTTCTGCCACTATACACCAGCTCGGAGACAGGCGAAGAAAGCAACGGAGGGCGTACAACCCGACCGCTCGAGAAGAATACGCGCCCCGTTGACGGAACACCACAGGTCGTCGACCTCGACGAGGAAGCACCAACCGAGGTCAACCCGAGAAGGCGAACTGACACGGAGCGTACTACGCCAACCGAGGTCGATCCAAAAGACAAACTGACGCGAGACGTACTGCGCCAACCGAGGCCTACCCGGTAGAACGTACTGAGGCGCGCCGAGGTGAAACAACCCGAGGCGGTGAGCAGGGCAACCTCAACGGCATCAGCGACGAGGATCTCTACTGGATCCAGCAGCTCGACAACCGACGCGATGAGACATTGCGCGCCCAGAAAGCTGAGATAGCGGAGATGCGCGCCAGGTTGGAGCGAACGGCCGAGGACATGAAGGCGGTTCAGTCTCAGATGCACAGGGCTACGAGCAAGGTGCCTCAACTCGATCTGGTGCTGGAAGCGGCGCAGAAC